CGTTCCTAGAATAACGGAACTTTTTGCTCGCGCAATATTAGGGATGTTGCATAACGAAATATACCTTGTTTTTTTACATGTTGTAAAAAAGTACTGAATGACTTAATTATATGAGCACAARTGTATGTACATACATGTCCATATGTATATTGGGTGGTCGAAAAAGTCTATTCGTATTTTGACAATAGATGTCGTTGCCGTCGTATATTTCTAGTGCTACCAATCACATTTTGTCATACTATATACATACATATATAGTGTTGGAATGGTGAGACTTTAAGCTTCAAGTAACCAAAAAAAAATTATATGCGGGAAAGTTGAAAACAAGTTACAGCTGAAGAATGCTACCAATGTAGTATGTGAATTTTACGGAGACATGACAAAAAGTGGTCGACGGAAATGGTACATATGTATGCATGTATTTGTATATTTATGATTATAAATATAAAAAGAATAAGACTTTTTMGACTACCCAATATTATTTGCAACATATTATATGTACATACTTACATATGTATGAATACATATTAAGCATATTCCATATATCCACATTTTTCGCCAGAAATTTCACCAATCAAAAAAATAATAAATATGTGAACAAATGTACATACAATAATATGCTATACATATGGTTGCATATAATAAAAATACTTTAGGTCCACAGATAAAGTTAATCAATGAAAAGCTTTTATATGTACATATAAGCTTATAAGAACTCATTAAATGAGTTTCATTTATGTGTATATGTGTGTACATACATACATACATATGTAGATAAATTCACATCATATTTAAACAAGCCAGCTGACAAAGTGCCAAAGTACATATATAATAATAAATAAGAACGTTCGAGCAAATTCTGGAARCCGAAATATCGTCCTAATGTTTGGCAAACAAACCCAAAAGGCACAAATGTTTGTATATACACGTGTGTACATATGTATTGAAAGTATAATGCAGGCAATTGACAAAAAATAAAAAGCATGAGAACGATAGAAGGCTCTATTACACTCAGTATACGTATGGATGTGTCGTTGCTGTTATCTCACACCACAGCAAAAAGGTTGCTCCGTTAGTCGCGAGTATAAATACACCAGCACTCGCGATTGTCGGCATAGTTGAATTTCAAACAGCAAGCACTAACAAAGCGTTGAAGAAGCGCACAAAAAAACCTCAAACAAAATCTGAAACTACTTTTTTTTTTTATTAAGAACAAAGCGAAAAAACTGTTTTTAAATTTTTCTATTACTGTGAAGTGAATAARCTARATACAAAAATAGAAATGTCATCTCTACCRTTGATCTTGAGCTTGGCTGATGATTTGAGCCGCTTGACTCCATTCTACGAACCGGTGTTCTACACTCGTTGGCCCGCCGTTACCACTTCGCCCAATGGCCGTTTGCGAAAATTTGAAAAGGAYTTACCCGTWGCAACTGTGGGAAAAGATGGTTTCCAAGCCAGTATGGATGTACAACAGTTCAAGCCCAGTGAGTTGAGCGTGAAAGTGGTCGATGATCACATCGTGGTCGAGGGTAAACACGAGGAGCGTGAAGATGATCATGGTTACATCGCACGACACTTTGTTCGTCGTTATGCTTTACCAAAAGGATTTCAGGCCGATAAAGTRGTTTCCACACTGTCTTCGGATGGCGTGTTAACAGTTAATGTGCCAAAGCCGGCAATCGAGGATAAGTCCAATGAGCGTGTGATCCAAATTCAGCAAACTGGACCAGCTCATTTGAATGTAAAGGATAATCCTGAGGAGGCTACCAAAGAAGAGAAAGCAAAAGCGTGATTCCTACATATATCATTTACTTAATTCATAAGCATTGTATAAAAGTATTCATTTGGTTCATTATTAAATATTTGGTAATTAAGAAATAAGTCTGAAATTTAGGTTTTTGTTGCGTTTAAAAACTAAATTAAAAATAAAACAATTGTTTCAATTAAAGCTACTAAATTGTCTTCTTATTTTCTTATTATTATAAAAGTTGGCCCATTTCGAGGTCTTTTTTTTTATAAAGAAAAAACACAGAAACTTCAGTTTTAATGGGGAATGTGCGTTATCATTCGAAAGCACATTATTTGGTATTTGTTTTGAGGATTAAGTATCTCTTTCTTAGATCCAGGTCCATGCTAATTATCAGGTCTCAAATTTGAGTCAATATTTTGAGACTAACGCGAGAGACTGTTTAGTTAACTGTAACTAGTCACAAATTAAGACTTTACCCCAAAATTTCTCAAATAGTGACTAGAGACTGCTTAGAGAATTCCCCATTAGACTTTACATATCCCCACAGGAAAAAGTCTGCCGGTCCGGATCAATTTCAAGTTGTTGCGCTCACCCCAATTCACGAACATACGACTATTCTCACGTTCTTGCGTCAATTCGATCATATCAATATGTAGGCCCAAATCTTCTGTAAAATTCACCACAACGACTTCACAGAGATGTTTGAGAACGACATGTGACAGACTGACTTGGGTATTTCTCAATTGATGCGTCAGCGGCAGCAATATTCTCGACACTAGGGCCACTTCTTTGTCTCACTGGCATGGGGACATTTTGTACTGTGCATTTGGATTCAAATTTTCCTACTAGACAGTCAATTGTTGATCTGACAGGACGATTACGACGACCATCATTTGGACTATCTTAAAGTTGAGGCCACTGACTCCGAATTTCGGTAGTAAATTTAATAATTTTGACTCGTTGTGGGATCGTATGTATGTATATCTTTCCATGATAAAATTGCAAACCTTACTGAAGAAAAATGTCAAATGAACGGGAAAAATATGGCTGTCTCTATCGGTCTACCTTTGTAGCGTCCCTATTGTAATAACCGTTATATGTAAGAAGGTTCAAAATTGACGCATATGGGAAAAAGAGCAACCTGAAGAGATTCGAGAGCAGCCATTTCATCCAGAAAAACAACGGTTTAGTGTGGTTTGTGAGCCGGTGGAGTCATCGGTTCATATTCTTTCAAAAATTGTGCTGGTGAGAACGTAACCGTCAATGGTGACCGTTATCGCGACCGGTCCGACTATTTGGAAATAGGTTGGACCGGTCGATTGGCCACCAAGACCTAGTGATATCACACCGTTAGACTTTTAATGTAGGGATATATAAAGTCTAAAGTCTATGCGGACAATCCCGCTTCGAGCACAACATCACACGTGTTATTCGTAATTCCAAGAATATGATATATGTAACTCTTACTACTCCGTAATGTTTATGGAAGCCGAGCCAACTGGGAAGTATGTATCTCCTTGTAAATAAATTCCGATCATTTTCGTTGTCATTTACAACAATAGTACAGTAGACGGGTTAGCCACCTTTGCAAACGTTAAAAGGAGAGTCAAAAAACTTTCCTTGTTTTCTAGTAATCTTAATCCTCATGTTCAAGGGACCTCTCCATGAAACGATTTTACTAATATGCTTACAGCCCTAACCTGGGTCCTTGCATAAGAAATTAAGGGGTACATGGGTTTACGGGTTTCAAAAAATCGATTTTTTGTTGTCTTATTAAATTCTATAACATCTCTAGAATATTGTCCTAAATTTTCTAGTAGGAAATAGTAATAGTTTTGGAGATACAGCCGTTCCGCCGTCTTTAAACGCGTTTTTCTCGAAACCGTGTTTTTGAAGTCGGTTGGCAAGATTTCTCGAGAACTATTCAATCGATCTTTATGAAATTTTACGCAAGTCTTTGAGATACAATTCTTAAAGACCTATACGAAGTATTTTTTTCGATTAGAACTAATTGGAAAAAAATGTCGCGAAATTCTCATTTCTTAGTGAAAATATCTGTCAAAAATCCAATATTCAGTTTTTTTCTTCGTCCAAGTTCTAAATTAAGGTTTCAACCAGAACAGATATTTTTCACTTTTGATGATTATATAAGCCACTAAGCCATCCATTATCCTGCCAACGCGGGCGCATCTTCTTTTCAAGGGGTCATCGGAAATGACCGAATTTAAAATATTTTTTAAAAAATTTCAGAATTTCTTAATGTGTACATATAAAAAATTCGAATAAAATTTTTAATTTTTTATATAAGAAAAAAATTGTTGAAAAAAAACTGCTCTCGAGGATACCCATGATGTATAAATGCATATATTGTATAATTAAATATAACAAGGTTTAGCTTTAAATGTTAGGATTTATTTAAATGCGACATTTTATATATATTTTAGAAATTATGTAAATTTATAATACAATTTTTGATAGCAATTAATTGCATATGTGCATGTGTGTGTATACTAATTGAAGTGATTTAACAGTTAAACCATTCGATTGAATTGACTGAATAAACCCTGAGCAGCAAAAAGAGTGCAGACGGTGAACGCTTAAGCGCTTGCCTGCTCCTGACTTTCGACTTCTTTGGGATTCTCCTTCACATTCAAGTGAGCGGGACCAACTTGCTGAATTTGGATCACACGCTCGTTGGACTTATCCTCGAYGGCTGGCTTTGGCACACGTACCGTTAASACGCCATCCGAAGACAGGGTAGAAACTACTTTATCGGCCTGGAATCCTTTTGGCAAAGCATAGCGGCGAACAAAGTGTCGTGCRATGTAACCATGATCATCTTCACGTTCCTCGTGTTTACCCTCRACCACGATATGGTCATCGACCACCTTAACACTCAACTCACTCGGCTTGAATTGCTGCACATCTAAACTGGCCTGGAAGCCGTCCTTGCCCACAGTGGCTACGGGCAAATCCTTTTCGAATTTACGCAGTTGATTTCCGGGTGCGGCGGCTAGTGCCGGCCAGCGCGAGTAGAAGGCCGGTTCGTAGAAGGGCGTCAAGCGGCTGAGGTCATCGGCCAAGCTCAAGATCAATGGTAGGTTTGCCATTTTTTCACTTTCAATTTACTTTTCACTTTCAATAAATGCACGWAATTGTAACTTTGAAATTTTTWATTAGCTTTTSTTTTTTGTTTTTGCTTTGATGGGCGCTTGTTCAACGCGTYTATCTTTTGCGATTTTCTGTTCAACTGATGTCGACTGCTGAAGAGCCGTGCTCTTTTATACTCTCAGATATTTCGAATTTTTGGAAGAGTGCAACAAACACAATAGCAGCAGACTACCGCAATTGATAAGAACGCAGAGCTTTTTGTATTCGCGCCGGCGCGTTCACATACGAACATACATATCTATGTATCTACGAGAGAGCGGCGAACGTGACTGACGTTGTGGCACTAACCTACGGGAATCTCCGAGAAAATTCAATAGTATCTATGATATAGTGCTTTTCAGTGTCGTTTGCGTTTATTTTGCCGGCGAAAGCTTTCTCGCTCCGTGAAATGTTGCAAATTATTTTTACATACAAAATAACATTGTTCTGACTATGCTCGATAAGAGTTGCTAAATGGCAAAGAATTTACGTGAACATACTCGTAAAAGTGGGAGGAACTTTCTGATTATGAATATACAATGTTTTTTATGTTTCTTTGTGTGAATATTGATATTAAATATAAATTGAATCAATATATATTTATTTTATTTTTTAATATATGTATGTATATGAACATATTTATATTAAGTGACTGATATTGTACAGCTGTTTAGTGCATTGTCAGTAAACAAAACGTATGTATGTATGTATATATTTAAAATTTTCAAAGGTTAAAAAAATCGTATCTATAATTTTGGATTTCTGAATAATATATTTTAAATAACCGACTTTAATCGCAAATTTATGTAAAAAAAAAATGTAAGATTGAACCCCTTTCTTATAACATAAACGGGTTTGAAAATATCTTTAACTTGATTTTAATCAATCAGTTTGTATGGCAGCTTTTCATGCACCATATCCTTTTTTTTTTAATATTTTCATCAGTTAAAGAAATCGTACGTCCTCCAGGTGGATGTGGAAGGAATTCGAAGGTCAATTGTGATACCCTGCATCATCTTGATGAAACAGCATKTTCATTTTCATTTTTAAAAACATCATTTGCGGCCGGTCCATGCGCATACCAAAACACAAAGGCCATAATCTTGTCATCCGACTGTTTCATTTTTCCACGTATTATTGTGGGTTCATCGTGTGCAGTCCACTCGGCTGACTGTTGATCAGACTTCACAGTGAAATAAGGGAGTCATGTTTCATCCATAGGCAAATATACGCTCACAAAGTCGAGTTTATTATGTTTTAACATCTCCAAACACTACTCCGAATCATCAGCTCGCCGTTGTTTTTGGTCAAAAATGAGCTCGCGCGGCACCCACAGAGCTTTCTTATACGCGAATATTCGTGAATTATATGATGAACACGTTTAGTTGATATCAATATAGTGCCTGCTATATCCAACTACTTCACTTTATTGGCGTCYGAAATTATTTTCAGGATTTTTTCTGATGTTTTCATCGGCAAGCGTCTCTTTCGGGCGTTCACTGCCTCCATTGTTCTCCGTGCTCATTTGGTCTTCCAACCAAACTACTTTTCAACGGTTTCTTGGTGCTGATGATGATTAATTCAAACCTTAGCTTCAATAGTTTTTTTCCTCAAACATTTTTCTCTCRAGCTTTACTTTCTATGTGTTACAAATTTCGTGGTAACAGTATTTATTTCCTTTCCTAAAAAATTTAAGTAAATTAAATAAACATATGTACATATGTATGTATATGATTTTGCTTTGAAAGGGATTTCTACACTAAAAGTCTTCTGATTTTAAAAATTAAATTATATAGACGATTTTAAATTAATCCCAATTTCATGTGAGTATTTATTGTGATATYCGTAGACTTAAGTAATAGAGAAAATAAAAAAAATTTGTTGGACCAATTAGTTCAGGTTTTATAATTGTCAGAACCTTAGTGTCAACAATTTTAGTGCTTACAATTTTTGACGCTATGATTTCGTCAATTGTTTAGCTAAGGACCAGCTTGAAAGGTAAGAGAAGTTAAAGATAGTTATCGACCATTCGAAAGCCCATGAAGATCTATT